TCTCTCGCTCGCTCCCTCTCTCTCCAGACACACACACATAAAATATCTAACCCGTATCACACACAAAAGACACAATACTACACACATCACTTCTTCTAACATTACAGAACAAAGATTTATCACAGCTCGAGACGCACCGAGACACTATAAACAATACACATGTAAGTTACACCTAAAGCCACGCCGGATATACGAGGGATATGCGTAAGCCACTCACGGTTACGGGGAAAAGCCGATCCCCCCCCCCCCCCAACATACGTAAAACTTTGGCTGCCTTATAAACTTCGGAAAATTTCGGATCTGACGCAGGAGTCTCTTCTGGGGGACGAAACTTGTCTAACTTTCGTACTTGTGCCTTCGGAAAATGAGACTTTTTTTCTTCTTTTTTTTTCTTTTCAGGTTTCTCTTCTGTTCTTCTTTCTGTTTATTACCGTGTCTTTCTTTCTCCTCCATTTTTCTTTCGGCTGTGCGTTAAAACAAGTAATTATCACATAAAACAGCAGTGCGTTAAAACAACTAATTGTCACATAAAACAGCAATGACAATGTTACGGAAAAGGGCAGTCGTCATCCAAGAAAAACAAGTCGGTTAGTACGTACACATACTCTATTTATATATAATTACATACATGCTCGCACTTTGTTCACACGGAAATTAACACATACAGACTCACTCACTCTCTCTCTCTCTTTCTCTCTCACTCTCTCTCTTTCTCACTCTCTCTCTCTCTCTCTCTCTCTCTCTCTCTCTCTCTCTCTCTCTCTCTCTCTCTCTCTCACACACACACACACACACTAACTCACGCACAAACAAAGAAATACACACACACAATATTACCCCGGGGGCGCTCTGATCTCACACACAAAGAAACCGAAGAAAAAAAAAAAGGGGGGGGGGGGGGGGACCTTTGCCTGCGTCTTGGGCGAAGGAGAACCACATTACAAAGCCAAGGCAAGTCTCGGTTCCAGGATCCAGAAAGGGGTTGGTGTAAAGGAACTCCAAAACAGATCAGCTGGAATAACATGTCGGCTTCTTGTCGCCTTCCTTCATTCTCTTTCTCTTTTTTTTCTCCCTCTTTCTTTTCTGTATCTTTTTCTTTCTTTTTTTATGATTTCCTTCCTCGTCAGTTTTTTTTCACCCTCCTCTTCGATTTCTAGTTTTGTTTTTCTCTCTTTCACCACATCCCTTATTATTTTCTTTCTTCGTTTATTTCTCTATTTTATTCTGCCTTCCTCTTCTTTTTGACTTCGTGCCCCCCCCCCTCCATTCCTGACACTTTCTTGTTCTTTCCCCTTTCCCTTCCCCTCCCCTCCCTCTCCCTTCCCTGCACATCCCTACCTACCCCCCCGTCCCCAAAGCCGTGGGCGTCGTGCAAGCCAGGCGAGCGTGCGTAAAAACGCCCGAACGCCCTCATTGGTGAAAACCCAACGCGACGCCCACGGCTGGCCCTTCCTGATAACCCCATGACATTCAGCGCTCGCACGGCCGCCCAGTCTCGCCCCGCTGCACGCGCGTGCGCATGCCCACCCTTCACACCTGCTCACTTCACCTTTAATTGATTTAGAACCATACGCGAATCAATCATTTTTTTCCCTTCAAGTATCGCTCCTCCCTTAACCATCCAAATCACCTTAGGAATTCTCGAAATCACATAAAAGAATAAAAACAATGACAATCAATGACCTCAAAACAATTAGCCCATCCCCCCTCCTCCGTTTCCCCCGCGGCGAGCAATGAGTTCGCCTTTACCCTCGCCCGTCCGCCCAGAGCACTCAATAAATCAAGCAGCGGCGCCCGGACCCAGCAGTTACCTCGCACGGCGTCGAGGAGCTTCCTGGGAACACGACGGAGGTGTGAACGCCGATGAAGTCCGCTCTGGCAAGGTGTGCACGGGCACGCTTGCACACACACACACACACACACACACACACACACACACACACACACACACACACACACACACACACACACGCACACGCACACACATACACACATACACTATTCTACTCCTGCGTGCACACCATTCATTCATTCAGCCTTGCAGTCAAGCGGATCGCGACATAAAATAAACGGTATACTTTTTGCGAAAGTCCGTGCCATTCTATCGCCGTTATGGTATCCCTTGGGATATCATCTGACAAGGAAAATATTAATATTTCAATCCTCTCAATATCTTTGACACAATACATACACATAAACACACACACATATGCATATGAGAAAGAGAGAGATCGAGATTGAGAGAGAGTGCGAGAGAGAGTGCGAGAGAGTGCGAGAGAGAGAGAGAGAGAGAGAGAGAGAGAGAGAGAGAGAGAGAGAGAGAGAGAGAGAGAGAGAGAGAGAGAGAGAGAGAGAGAGAGAGAAAGAATCTAAAACAATCTCCCCCCCCTACCCGTGTTGCAATCTCACCCCCCCCCCCGTCCAGAGCCAGCAGTCCGGGCACGTCCAGGGAGCCAATAAAGTTTCCATCTCGACCTGAACAGACGCCATCAAACCTTCGTACTCTCAATTCGTGACGAGACTCCGAATTGTATTTCGAGCGAAGAGAGAGAAAGAGAAAGAAAATAGAGAGAAAGAAGGAAAGAGAGAGAGAGAGAGAGAGAGGAGAGAGAGAGAGAGAGAGAGAGG